TAAACTGTACTATTGACCCCTTCCTGCCCAATTCTGATGCCCCTTTAATAAGATTTGTCCTCCCAAGATCAGAAGGAATCGGCGATCATGTGTGACCACTGTGATTGTCTGTCACAGCGGTCATGTGATTGGGAGTCGGTCCCGCCTTTACGCTTTGGTGAACAGAGTTGCGTGCAACTGATAATGCAGAAAAAGCATCTTCGTTAACTGATTCTTAAACTGTAGTATTGACCCCTTCCTGCCCAGCCCTGATGCCCCTTTAATAGGATGGATCTGCCCAGGATCAAGCAGGATTAGCGATTTGTGTGAACACTGTGATTGGCTGGCACAGCGGTCATATGATCGGGAGTTGGTTCCACCTTTATGCTTTGGTGAACAGAGTTGCGTGCAACTAACAATGCAGAAAAAGCACTCTAGTTCTTAAACTGAGGTATTGACCCCTTCCTGCCCAGCCCTGGTGTCCCTTTAATAGGGTCTGTCTGCCCAGGATTAGCGATTGTGTGAACACTGTGATTGGCTGTCACAGCGGTCATATGATCGGGAGCCAGGCTCGCCAGCTACTGACCATTGATGAGGATTGAGAGCTGTCTTTGACAGCTTAATGTCTGTGCTGGGAGTGCGCTCTCAGCACAGGAACATTGACCGCCCAGTGACACACGTGTGCGGCGTGTAGCCGGTGAAGCCCACCCTTTTGCCACTGCACATGTTACATGGGCAGCAAAAGGGTTAAACACACGGGCCAATATAAAATTGAACACAACTAATACTACACACCGGAGCCAGGACCCCCATTCATAAAATGCAGGCCGCGGTGTAGAGCCCGCTGTGTCCCATAGAAAACTCTGCCATTGGAGGAGAGGCCGGTCATGTGTCTTTGATGGCTCTTTGGATTGGCGCTCCACTTGCACCAGCATCCCGAAACATGGCACGTTTTTTTATAGCCCATCGCAGAGCAAGGTTTTTTTTTTTTTTACGCTTGGCGTAGTCCTTTTACTTTAGCCTGCTTTGTGTCACTATTGGAATGTAATATTCTGGTTGAAAAAGTACATTTTGCAAGGAAAACAAAGAAAAAAAAATCATTTTTTTCAGTTACATAAACTGTGCATTTGGTGTTAAATGGTAAATCTTTCGTACATTTAAAGGGCCACCAAACCTAAAAGATTCGTTGTAAATGCTTTATGTATGTGTGACTTGCAAATTGCCCCTTGCCACCCAGCCCTGGCGGTCCTTTCCTTTTAACTGGACTACGACGCCGGGGAGGTCTGTTACTGGCTGTCACATGATCGGGAGCCAGGCCTGCCAGCTCCCGATCATTACTAGAGAACGGGAGCTGTCTGTGAAGGCTCAGTCTCTGTGCTGATGGTGCACGATGAGCACGCTCCTAGCGCAGAAACCTCTGCCCCCACCCCCCGGACGCATGTGCGAGGTGTGTTGGCATTAAGGCCACCCTCTTTGCCAGCACACACATGCATTGCGTAGACAGAATGAGGGAAAAAGAGGAACTTCCCCTCAACTAGCAATATTGGACGTTTTTTTTTTTTGGGGGGGTGGGTGTTAGCAGGTGCCCAATTTTGGCAATTCCACCGAAAGCTGCCCCCCTCAATGCCCGAAATCTCTTGGGACCACATCACAGGTCCCAGGAGGTTACTGGACCATCACAGGGGCACGGCTTGTGCATGCGCAGTGGAAAGCCGGCTGTGACTCCACAAGGAGACCAAGCCTCGGTGGGTGGGGCAAAACGCATCAGAAGGGGCTTGGCTGAGGCCAACATCGTTGCCGACACTCACTGGGTTGGTTTGAGTGGCGTCCATCTCTCCTTTGGATCACAAGGAGACACAGCAGCCTTCCAATAGTTAACATGATGGCACTGGGGATGTATTTATATATATATATATTTTTTATTTTTAGAGATAGATTTATAGATGGATAGATTTATAGATGGATAGATAGATTTATAGATAGATTTATAGATAGATTTATATATATGTAGATAGATTTATTGATAGATTTATTGATAGATTTATTGATAGATTTATTGATAGATGGATAGATTTATATATGTAGATAGATTTATTGATAGATTTTGATTGATAGATTGATTGATAGATTGATATTGATTGATAGATTTAGAGATAGATTTAGAGATAGATTTAGAGATAGATTTAGAGATTGATTAGAGATAGATTTAGAGATTGATTTAGAGATTGATTGATAGATGATTGATGAGAGAGAGAGAGAGATAATAGATTAGATAGAGAGAGAGATAATAGATTTATAGATAGATAGATATAGATAGATAGATATATAGATAGATAATAGATAGATAGATAGTTTATAGATAGATAATAGATATAGATCGGATAGATTTATAGATCGATAGATAGATAGATTAGATAGATAGATAATAGATAGTTAATATAGATAGATAGATAGATAGAGATAGATAGATAGATGATAGAGAGATAGATAGATAGATGATAGATAATAGATAGATAGATGGATAATAGATAGATAATAGATAGATAATAGATAGATAATAGATAGATAATAGATAGATAATAGATAGATAATAGATAGATAGATAATAGATAGATAATAGATAGATAGATAGATAATAGATATAGATAGATAGATAATAAGATAGATAATTAGATAGATAATAGATAGATAGATAATAGATAGATTTATAGATAGATAGATAGACAGATAGATTGATTTATAGATAGATTGATTGATTTATAGATAGATATAGATTTATTGATAGATTTATATATGTAGATAGATAGATTTATTGATAGATTTACAGATAGAGTTATAGATAGATTTTATAATATAATTTTTTTTGGGGGGGGGG